TTAAATAGTATCGAAGATATCTCTCCAAAAAAAGTCTCGAGAAAACTTGACATTAGATCTTCGAAAGGAAAAACAAATAATTTCAATAAATCAGAATACAAGGTAAATGAAACAAAATCGCACGAATCAGACTCTCCCGAAATATCTTTACACGACAAATTAGAAGTAAATATAGAGAAACAAGAAAGCGTAACGCCGAACCAGAATCAAAATGTACATACACAAATGAGGCCACAAATGAAAAGTTTTAAGATATTTTTGACGGATGTGGCAAGCATTGACTCGAAAAGGTATCTGTACAACGCCGCACTCGAAAGATGGAAACGACAAAACAACGAACAGCAAAAACTCAAAAGGATTTTCTCGGCATCACATAAGTCACCACTTAAACGCATTGTTAATTTTTCATCTCCACAAAGACGAAGAAACTCAAGTCCACGGAAGTCACCACAAGGAAAGCGTTATGGCGTCCTTGATGTAACTATTCATATCTCTCCACCGCCGAAAGCTTCATCAGAAGACCAAGCTACTCCGATGTCTAACCGAACTGCTTCCTCGCCATTGAAGAGGGCTAGATCTTCAACATTCACTAAAGTTCGGTCTCAGTCTCAACAATCGACTGATTCCTATGTCTCATCGAGCTCAAACAGATCTTCATCTTGTACAAAAACTGTTTTTCCATCGCCTCCATTAACTGATACCAACTCTGCATCAAAATGTCAATTGCCCACGGCTTTTGCTTTCTCGCCAGACAAAATTCAGTTTGAATATACAAATTCGCCGGATTCCAAACGGCTTAGTACACCGAACAAAATCGCAAACACGAAAAGAAAAATTCTCACAGAGAGCGATAGGCCATCTTTTCCTCGCCAACGTCAGGCTAATGAGATTGATAGATTATTTGACACACTTGGTTCATGCCTTTCAAAGGAAGAGACATATTTACAAATGACGCACAGAGAATCTGGAGTACAGAATGAGTTATCAGAGTTGGGAAGCGGAACTGAAGAGAGGAACGTCAATAAATACCAAGATAATGCTGACTGTGTCTCCGCCAAACAAATATCCAACAAAGAGGATAAAATGTTGACAGAAAACCTTAAACGAAAGAGATCAGACTCCAATGCTACTTGTAGAAAGCAGCCAAAACTATCGCTTAAGTTAAAACAAAAAACCTCTTCRCAAGTACAGAAAGCTCCCAATGATTCAGAAAAGTATAGCAATAAGAAAACAGCCCGAGATTCAGGGAAAGAATCCGCGGAATTTGACGAGGGGTCTCCTGCAGTTAGTGATCGAAGTAGTGACTCACCCTCTATATTAGACGAAACAATCCATCGAAAATCCATGTCTGTCSAAGAGCTATCAACACCTTGGAAAGTACAAATAAACAGCAATTTTAACAATAATGACATAAACTCTGTTTGCACTGASGTGGCAGAGACGAAAAGCCAGCGTAATGACGTCAATGAAGGAATRAATACCGATGAACCTTTGACGTTCGATAGTGATGAGACCTGCGATTCTACTGAAATGATAAGAGCAAAAGGTAATGAGCACGGAGATGAAACTAATGGGAGACGAACCTCCGTCGAGGAAATAGAGAAACAAGACCCTGTACTTTGCTCAAGTCCTGATCTTTTCGATAGTGCGCTCTTTAATATGTCCTATTTATCTCCTGAGCGTTGTGATGAAGAGAGATCATCACCGCCATTGCCCTTTACTCCCTGTAAAGAAAATGATATTCAGAGAAAAGAGGAAGARCCACAAGGTGTTGCAACTAAGCAAGTTCAAGGAGCGTGTGATTTAAATAGTATCTCTGAAAAATATCCATTCAAAACGTTTAGCCCGGCTTTCCATTCTAATCTATCGGCTAATGTATATTCGGAAGAGTTGAACGAATCGTCCGTAAATTCGAGTAAGCTAATGGTTGGGCACTCTCAGGCACCAGAAAAACCTGCACGTTCTCTTCAGACGAAGAAAAATGCCAAATTTCAGAACAAAAGTTCAGCGTCTAGTGCRGCAACAGTGAACAGAACTTGTACAACAGTATCAGAAAGTAAATATGTCAAACAARCTTCAGCACTTACTGAACTGCGACGATATTGCCGACAATTGGAAAAGGAAAAACTTGCCCTCAAGGGTCTCAGCGTTGAATCATCAGAGAACAGTGTTTCATCCTCTTCTGCAGTAGAAATACCTGCTGTAATAAATCATTCTTCCCAAGATGACTTATGCAGTACTAGGTATAGCGAGATATCTCCTTCTTGCTCACCTAACTCTRCATGTCCAAAGAAAGATTCCTCTATTGAAAGTACATCGCCTTTCCGTGGTAATGTCTTGTCTATGGGRGRAAAAGCATGTCACGCAAATGTAGCAGATTCAACTCTCGGTGATAACTCTTTCTTTTTACCTAAAGAAMTAAACTTAGCTTCTTATGTTAATGGTAATTCATCCCCCATTGACACAAGTACGTCGATACGTCATGGAAATTCTCCTGTAGATGGAAGTCAGGCTAAGTCGTTACTACCTACTACRACAGAACCATCGATTGAGATAGATTTACACATTTCCAATAGATCTCTGRTYGAAACGTCTGAAGAAAATRCATCCCTCGAACAGGAAAAATCCCAACATAATTTAGTAGGTTCCTTAAGCCTAACTGATGATGATGACAACAATGGCATGGATCATCATTCCATRATCTCTAGTGATARYGATCATTCCATTCAGAATGAAAATGTAGACGATGAAGACATCGATCGTGGGAATTCTTCTGCAGATAAAATTGACGATGGGAATGAGCWTTCCAGTCCAAAACATGATTTMCAGGARAAAGAATTATCAGGAGAGTCAACTTTTCTTCCCCACAAGGATAATTCCGAATTTTCGGTGATGRATGAACCACTTACAGTGATAATGCCTCAAAGAGAAGCCCYAWCAGCTACGACATTGATGGACAGTCTTGATGAATTCGGTATCCCAAGATGTCGCTACCAAGAACCGTTTTATAGTGATCCTAATGATGTYCCTGATAGTATCATGTAAGTATGCTTTATACTTGAACCATTTCGGACTCTCCAACGCCCGATAAAAAACTCCTGCTCGTTTATTAAACAGTACTTGTAGGTCTCGTTACATACTTGGGGTTATTGTTTATCGGTGCCGGGAAATCCAAGTTGTTCATGGTTAGATAAAACATTGCTGTACGGACCTTGGTTTTCCAGGTTTAGGCTAAAATCACGTGCTAAACAACTGTTTTTTTTAACAGGGATGTCGGTGGTCGTTTATTAAAAGTTCAGTCTAATCAAGTAAGGAAATCGAATAATCTATTTATCAAGTATCCTATAACATAAACCTTATTATACAACAATATGCAGATATTATGATCTTTTTTTGCTCATATATCAAGTATACAGTAAAAACACGCATATAAGAACACATATTTTGGTCGTTGAGGCTGATTTGGTTCTTATATAAAGGGTTATAATCTGCAAAATCAGCCTGTAAGTGTTCTTAAAACAAGTTTTTCTGATATAAGGAACATACAAAGGCTACCAGTAGATGAAATCAATATATATGCACACAATTTTAATTAATTAATACAATGATGTAACAATTTTAATTAAAAAAAAGATAAATCAAGGCAATATAATAATAAATATTTTTGTTTTGTTTAATATTTTGTTGCATATAATTGGGGTGGAACTATTATGTGTGCAATGAAAAGTAATTTTTGGATCTTTGATATTTTTCCATATAAGAACAGCTTTCATTTTTCAGGCTGAATATGTTCTTATATAAATGGTACTTTATTTCCTAAAATCAGGCCTGGGTGTTCTTAATCCACTTGTTCTTATACGCGGGTTTTTACTGTATACTAAATATATCATAAAATATTTGTTTTTAGAAAGTCTTAGTACTAGGCAAATTAAACAAAAGTATCACCAGTGATATATTTCATGTATACTTGGATTATGAGTCAGAATGATCATAAATTCTGTATATTGCTGTATTACCTATAATTATACATGTTGCTATGATCAAAACTGCGTACAAAAATGGAAATGCCGAGAGACAGATGTGCAAAATTCAACTTATAAGTGATTGCACAGAAAGCAATTATTTGTCTTCAGGTTGCATAGCTTTAARATATTGATAATTGCAGATTGAAGTCATTGCTTAAAGCAGCAACTATTTGACTATGTTATATTAATTAATCAAACCGGGGTAATAAGACCGTTCAACAGAAATGATTTAGTTTTACAATAAGTTCTATTAATTTTTTTTAAATATCTCCTCAAGTACTAAAGTACTGAAAGTATAAATACTAGTAACATTTTCCTGTTTTTTTTAGGTCAAAACTTTACAAAAATTTGACACAAAAAGCCCTTTTGTTGGTATTCAAGAAGTGCGAGAAATCTTTTACTCAAGTCATGAAAACAGCTTTCTCCATGCCTGCCAAGATAACATTGGTACTTCAGAGACGTTCATGGTTGGGATTGAAAACAACCCTGAGTTAAAAGTGGCTTTCATGGRAGACAAAGATTTGACTATAACTCCTTGTTCTATCCCACCACACCCTGCGGTAGTGCKCTCCTGGGCTCAAACGAAACTAACAAAAAAGCTTCAGAATGCTTTAGGTGACAACAAGAATGCTAAACTTGATAGAGATGAAAATAAAACCTCGCTAGTTTCAAAAGAGAAATTAGTAGAGCCCGTTGAAAATAGGCAAACCAATCTGAGCAAAACGGAATCTTTTCATGATAAATCAAAAAATGATAGCTTAACTGGATGTGGAAAAGCATCCAAAGCAAAGTGTATACCATCATCTCCTAACAGAAATGCACCATCTTCCGCTAATTCTCATGATAAAGAAGATCGGTCTAATGGCGCCTCCCCAGATTTTCCATCAAACGATCTGGCAAGAAWTACTAAGGTTGAATCTAAGACTGAGACAGGTAGCCCACCTAACCGAGAAGAGATAACAAGTCCGAATACGTTGTTTTCGCCAGTGGACAAATCATTTGACTCTCAGTCGAAAAAAGAGATATACGACTCCGATAATAATAAGAAGCAAAGTCTTAAGAAAACTAGCAGTGTTGAACGTAAGACTAGTGATGAACAACAGGAGAGAAAAAAAGATGCACAAGTTTTTAGTTTTGCATTCCAATCAACACCACTTCCTCATAAAACAAAACCTAAAAGTGGAATCCTGTCCCCCTCAACTGCCACCCCCGCCACGATTGTGGGCCTTCCCCGATTTCCTTTTCTTACACCAATCTCTGCGTCAACACAAGTGTCCTCAAACTCTGAGAAACAAACAGTTAACATGGTAAAGTCCCCTTCGGGTGAGGATACCGAAAAAGTCCGTAACAGTGATGTTGCCCCGAGACGCCAGCTTATTCTTAGTCAATTGAAGGTATGCAAGTCATATGCCTCACTATTCTACCTTGGTTTAAAAGCCGTGTTCTACAGGTGCCATTACAGTATGCAGTGAAGGAGGGTCATTGCACAATGTACCGCCCCTCCATCAATTTTTTTTAAGTATTCTATTAGAGCATGCGAAATTTCTTATTTCGAACTAGAGAATTAGAAACGACCTTTCCCAAACAAAAATAACAATGCAATTTCCAGAGAAAATCCGAAATGCTGTTGTTGTTATTAGAGGTGGTTATTATACTATTCAGCCACCAGGAGGCTTTTTTGTTCTTTTTATGATTATTTCTTTTTAGCTATTCTGGTTATCGTTCTTGTTTTTATATTTAGCTCCTTACCCCAGAAATAGCTCTTCGGCGTAATKTAAGCGAAGCTGGATCAGATATAGAAGGACCGTCCCCTGTAAATACCGCTGGCTACAAAGTACCGCAACTGAACGTGCAGGATGCCAAAGCCAGTCACGAGGTAAGTCTGTCTTAGATTTATTTATCAAATTTGTGATATATAACGCGCGCTCTGGTCATACTTGTCCAATACTCTGACAAATTTAAGCATGCCATTGTATGTAATWTATAAAATATGAGCGCCATTGTTTAATTGTACAATTGTGTATATCAACACACTTTATATGCGTAATGACACAAAGGCATTTCATCGTGTCTTATGGTATATTGAATGGGATTCCGCTCAATGAAAATGTTAGAAATGATAGAGCTATGGTAAAAACGATGATATATATGACACCTTTAATCCCCTTATTGTCCAATTAAACAATAGCGTACGTCAACAAATACCCTTGCATAGATTGCGATGTAACGGCGAAATCGCTGATGCAAAATGTACGTTTTTAAAAAAATTATTGCGTCCGTTGTCAATAATCAATTCAAAAACAGAGAGATGCGAAAACACTAGAGGGGTTTTCGCTTTAAGGACAAGAAATTTAAAGCAAATTCTAGGATTCGATTTCGAGTTAAGAAAGTCAGAGTCTGTTTGTCTCAAAAGAGCTACCATGCACTAAAGACATACCTTTGGCTCCATACCATTAACTCCCTAACGAATTGGTGTACAGTGCCGAAACTCTGCATGAACGTAGCAATATGATAGGGAATAGGGAAGTTCTTTTCCAGAAATCAGTAAGTATACATTTGATACAAAGTAAAATGTGAAYTTTCGATTTTGTATACGCTCCTTTGCTTTGAAAATTCTTGCTCCAAGTTAAGTACCGCATGATGTTGACTTTCCTCGATGAATTCCGACCAAACTTTGGTAATAGTTAGGCAATACCTCTAATATTATGTCCCTGAGATATCGCGGAAAAAAATAGACTTAATTTGTTTGAAATAGCTGTAAAAGCGTTTTCCTGGATTTCCCCATAAAACACATAAATTAAATCCGATTTTCCAAAAATTTACTCAATATGAATTTGAATCCCCTGTTAATCATGCAGTAAAATATTAGTTCGATCTGACCAACTTAAATTACTTTTTGACCGTGACACCGTCCCGGTCGGTGTTCTAAACAACTGTATCCAGATACCTTAAAAGAGTTGTATTGTTAATCTATTGTTATGTGGATATAATACAATAGAGTCATCACACTTGTACCGTGAAATATGATCRAAATAAAGAGTAAATATTAGTGTCTATTTATTGACTAATAGTAGATATTACTGAACCGAACACAGTTCATGAAAACAAAAGGCAATACACAAGAGACTTGACAACTACCATCTTTATTTCATGTACAATCAAGACAAAAGACACATCTAAAGCTAAAAWAAMCACRCAGTACGCAAGGAAACGCGTTTCACGAATCTTTATTTATTTGCGCTGCTGTGGAATCAAGACACAAGACACATCTAAAGCTAAATAACCACAAAAGACGCATTAAAACGCGTTTGGAGTCTTTATTGTCTGCGCCGCAGCAAAATTATGACAGAAGACATTTTAAGGCTAAATTGAAAATACTGTAACAATAGCAAACCCAGTACGCAAATGAACGTGTTATCTAATGAGTTTATTATAAGAGCCTAGCCTAAAAATCAAGACAAGACGCACTGAAATGACCCGCAAAATCTATAAAAGCAACGTTTCGAACGTATTCTATCGCTCAAAGCTGAGTTATTTGACTAGTCAATATAATTAAGCGATTTGACAACAACCAGCGACGACGTTTTAAATTTATCCTTTGCTTGAAGCTCAGAATAAAACACGGAATTTTATTAATCATTTCGGAAATGTTTGTGAGATACATACCTTTCTAGCATGTGACAATAGTTACCAAATCATTATTTCCAGCAGCACTACTCGTAACAGTTATAAAGTTAGTTACTATAGCTATCTATTTCACTTTCACCCTATAATCAATAATAGGGCAATTCTTTTTATGTCCTTTCAAGCCTATATTTAACACAAGTTCTAGCCCTTCCCGACATCTTTCCTCTGGGTTTAACAAAGAACTAAACTAGCTCTTTATTTCTTCTTTCCTTAATTGTGGGTGGGACATTTTTTAACAAATTCCTCCTTCTTCATTAGGTAGTTTACAATAACCTTATTTGGCTTCCAAGTCTCTTGTGTATTACCTTTTGTTTTTAAGAATTGCTTTGGTTCAGTGATATCTACTATTTCATACAATGAGTCAGTAAATAMAAACTAATAGTTACTACTTCTTTGATTATGTTTCACGGTACAAGTGTGATGACTCTACAATACTATTCATAAATTTGTCAGAGTATTGGACAATGCTTGGTTCTCTCGTGTTTTTCAACTCCCACCGTATTTATATCAGAGACACGCGCGCCCTTTTATAATTCTTAGATAAAAACTCTCAATAACGCTCATTGGTAATATATCTATAAATATTAATGAGGGCATTCATATGTTTTGAAAACATTTGGGCAGTTACGTGTCGTCAAAACGTTCTCGTCAAAACTAGTAATTCGAACTATGCGGCATTAAACAACAGAATAGTTTTCGTTGTAGTCTAGGAGCTTAGTTTGTAGACACGATATAAAACAGAAGTATTATGAAAGTAATGATTATATTGCTTTATAAAATTTTTGATATATAACGCGCGCTCTGATTGGCTGACGACCGTGTTTATATCAGAGGACAGAGACACGGCTTACCGGCAAAATTTTCTTTTCGCTCGAAAAATTTTATAAAAGAAATATAAAACGGCCGCTTGTGTCTCTGTCCTCTGATATAAACACGGTGGGAGTTGAAAAACACTCGAGAAGCAAGAGAAACACTTGCTACGCTCGTGTTCCTAAGCTTGCTTTTCTCGTGTTTTTCGAGCTCCCACCGTGTTTATATYAGAGGACAGAGACACGCGCGCCGTTTTATATTTCTTAAATGAAGAGCCATCCCGTTAAGTGAGATTTCCTTCATCGAATGCTGCGTTTGGAATGAAAGGACTGATTGTCTGATGAAACAATTGAAACAATTATAATAATCAAAAGACAGGTGACAAACTCAACGAAACTAACTTTTCTTACCAATTCTAAGTTAAGAAAACTTGTCTGGTTGTCGTGACTTTTATCTGTAAATATTATATTTAACTTTTCTTGGCCTATTTTCTGTCTGTTTGTTATTTTACAATACAATATGAAACACTTTTTTTTGTAATCACACAGGGTAAGTCCCTATTTGAAAATGTTTAAATAACCGGTAATGAATACAGAAAACAAGAATGTGGTCGCTTTCTCGGTTCGTTATAATTTGGGATTATTGTTTTACGTAAAATAGCTTATCTATAACTTAAAGAAGTAAGATATTTACAAGCTATAGTTCAAATTTGAAATGAAATTAATGTTTCCGTTAGTAATCGGATAAAGAAGTCATAAAGAAGTATATCGTCATTATTTTTACTTTACTTCTGCTCTATGCTCAGTTAGGCTACAATAGCAAGTCTTGGTCTTCGCTATGGCCTTAGATAACAGCTCATCAGGCTGCTTGCTTTCGCCAGACTTTGGCCGGTTTAATGTGACAACATTGCCACCGTTAGTTAAGGCAGTATGGACCGTGATTAGTGTTATCAATGCCATCACCTCTCCATTTACAGCAATAATGAACCTCTTGATTATTTGGACTATTTTTCAAGATAGAACACTTCRAACCAGAAGTTATAATCTCCTACTTGCGTCTCTAGCTGTAGCAGATTTTCTCGTTGGCGCAATTGTGCAGCCTTTGTACAGTTGGTATTATGCATGTTTGCTACACGATTGCAATATGCAATGCATGTTTTCCATCTTAATTGTAACAAGTATGATTTGCCATAGCCTTACGTTGACGAATCTAATGATTTTAAGCTTGGAGATGTACTTTGCCATAGAGCACCCCTTCTATCATGAGAACCAAGTAACAACGAAGAGAGTTATGATAGCCTCAGCCATTGCTTGGGTGTCCTTGCCAGCAGCGCTGATAGTAATCAGGAAGCTAAATTGCCAATTCATGGCTCTTGTGCTTACCTGTACACTTTTGTTAGTGACTCTGTATTGTAGCTGTAAAGTACAAGTAACGGCGTTCTATCAAAGTAGAAAAGCGATTGTACAAGTGGGTGTTATAGAACGACAAGGAGAACAAACATGTCAATCTGACCTACAAGAAGCACACGAGGACTTTCAACGCCGGCAGAAACATAGACAGGAAATATCAGGGAACTGTCCACAGCAAGAACACCAAGAAGAGCTGCAGGAAATAGAGGATCAGCACAAAGATGACCTAGAACATCAAGACCAACAGCAACCTGATGATCAAATACACGCCCATGAGCATCATCAAAACCTGAAGGCCCAACAAGAAGAACAAAAATGCAGACAAAGACGATTTGGTGAATACAAACGCGCAGTAACTATGTTTCTGATAGTGTTTTTAACATTTTTATCTTACGTACCCTTCCTTGTCTATATTATTATAGTTTTCGCATTCGGTAAAAATATAACCATTTACTTTCCATATATCGCTCAATCTGTCACTCTAACGCTTGTAAACCTTCAGTCACTTATGAACCCAATGATCATATCGCTTCGTAAGTCGCACATCCGTTTGGGTGTCCAAACAAAACTTTGCTGCCGTGAATGATTTTGAATTTTTGATAAATCGATGTAAATGAAGTAGTAGTGGTTATTAAGTTATAGTATTTGGGATTATTAATTATTATAATAATTATTAAGATAATAGTTGCCGTTATTAGAATTTTGATCATCATTCATTTCTAATTTTCATCATGACATATTTRCATCTTCAATCAATTTTGTATTATRATTATTCAATCTTTATTTCTCAATAACCTCTATGTATAATATTGATTTATTATTTACAAAAGTATACTAAAAAGCAGAATAGATGTATCATAAATGTTAAAAAAAACATATGCAAAAAAATATAGTAGAAAAGGAAATTATAACAAAAAATAAATAAATAAGAATTTTAGAATTGTAAAAATGATATCTTCAATCAATCAATCTTACTTTACTTGTAAAAACAGAAAAATTTAAAATTTAAAATAGGGCATTAAAAAGATGGCTCAACCAAAAAATGTAGTACCTTTTTTTTTACCTATTTCCTTGTAAGAACGACCGGTTAGCTCAGTAGGTAGAGCATCGAACTTTAGTGCGGGAGGTCGCAGGTTCAAACCCAACACTCAGGGTCTTAAAATAATTGAGGAGAAGTTGCTGCCTTTGTCTTTCTCCATCTGCARATGGTAAGATCTTCGCGTCCTCTCGGATAACGACGTAAAATCGGAGGTCCCGTCTCTCTACACTTCACTCACTAACCTGTATTAGAGGGAAGTTAAAGAACCCACACCACTGTTCGCATAAGAATAGGGMATGATTCCCGGTGTGTGTGGCTAKGCCTTACTACTAACCCATACTAATTACTAACMYCTCATGATTGTAAGCCGCGTGGCTGCCAATTGCGAGTTAGACAGCGGTCCATGTGAAATGATCTATACATGTGAAGCGCCTGTGAACTCAGAGGATATCGGCGCTATATAAATACCACATATTAATAACCAACGCACTAATAATAATAAAAAACTGGTTCAGTTTATTTTTCAAAGTAGCTAGTCAAACGGCATTTCTTATTTTCTGTGGTTGTTTATTCCATAATCTAGCTCCTGAGGCTGATACATGTAGTCTGTATGCTGCTTAGGGATGAACCGTTTGTTAGTACCTAAACTATTTCATTGATGATAGCGGTGCTCGACGAAAAACGGCCTCATATTTCTTTACGCCATTTCATTGTCGTGATTATTTTCCTTGACTGTGGTTATGTCTTTCATTGTAAAGATTTCAGGTTAAAAAGGTACTAATATTTACTACTCCATCAACAGTCAATCGAAAACGAGAACCACTTCGTGGAGCACAGGTGTCCGGGTTATCAGTTGTTATTGCATTTCAACTAGCAGAACCCATGACTACTTCGGTCGTGCAATCGCCGTTCGACAATTGACATTCGCCATTTTATCCGACAACCTTTTTTGAAATAGCTATATTTGATTGGTTCTGCATATAATCTTCTCAAATAATTTCTTTTGAATAACATTTTTATCATTGCAGTGATAATTTAGCATTAAGATTGGATTCTCATTATCCTCATAGTATTTATAAGATGAAAGGTTGCTATGTGTTTTAGAAAAAAAAAACTAGTATATTTTAAAGTTAAAGAAAAGAAAGAAAATAAGAATTGTTTAGAAGCTGCTCGAGATAAGAATCGAACCCGCGATCGTCAGTTCAACATGATCCCACGTGCAAGATAATATAAAACAAATATCTACAGGAAAAAATAGACATGACTAAAAAATTCAGTAAAAAAAGAAAGAAGGAAAGAATTGATAATCGAGTCGAGAATCGAACCCGCGTTCCTAAGTTCGACGCTATTCGACTTGGACACGGTAAAAAAATATATTAGTCAACAATAGTCCCCTTCACGGTTAGGGGCGCCATCTTGAAAGGTAGCCGTGCCTTTGCATCGAAGCGAGACAACCGTTGAGCGTGCAATGATAGATACCTGTGAATAATTGTCTGTATGTGTGAAAGAAGGTTTCTATCATTGCACGCTCAACGGTTGTCTCGCTTCGATGCAAAGGCACGGCTACCTTTCAAGATGGCGCCCCTAACCGTGAAGGGGACTATTGTTGACTAATATATTTTTTTACCGTGTCCAAGTNTAAGGGAAGTACGATATTGGGGACTTCTGGCACCTCCATTCACAATGTCACCCCAGCTGCAAAGAGACCTATTCTTGAACGTTCAGGTTTGTATTAAAGTATGAAATCTGATCCGCTGACAGTATTTCCTGTTGTAAATACGCAATTAGTTGACAACAGTCTGTCATGCGCAAAGACCTGACCAAAAACAAAAGAAAGCCTGTATTCCCAGATGGCAGCGTATTGCTCAGGCTAAGCTTCAAATCGGAGAAGATTCAAATTTCTAGAGCCATTGTAATGTCAACATTTTTTCGTGCTTTCTTTTGTCCTCTACGCAAGTGAGTCTGTTGTCTACTAAAACAGCGGTCGCTGGCTTTGAGCTAAAAAAAGGCTTATTACAGATTAAAAAAAAATAAAGAGAAAAAGTGCGACTTCTATTTATTTCTAAGCACCTAATAACAAAAACGTTTAGACCAAATAGATGGTTGCACGTTGGTCTATTCATAATAATTTAAAACGTTACTTCAACCTAAAATTGTATTTACTTAGTCGGGCTTTTGGCTCACCGAGTCATTATGACTGATGAAAAAACGTTGCAATTTACAAAAACGTTATCCTGATATGTAAGGATTGAAGAACATAGGAATACATTACAAAAGATGACCACTGAAGCCAACACATCATTATATTTTATTTATTCCTATATAACAAAAGTTATAACAAAAGACCATCTCTCAATTCCCGTGAGGAATCCAGTGAAATGGACAACCTTTTGTTGTAAACGCTCTTTTAATCACTTAAATAACATTTCTTTAGTCAGTCTCTGATGAAGCCGTAGACGGCGAAAGCTCAGACCGTTCAGTTTCAATACTTTACAGCAATAAGGCCTCAATCGAACCCTTTTCATCTTCTCAAACATGCTGCTGAAGGATAACTTCATTCGTTTATAACAAAAGTTGCAAAAGTTATTATTCTCGGAGAGCGCAGCGTGTTACCTTCATTATTTATGTAAAATTACTCAAAACTGTGCCGTCGGCATCGATCAAAATGCATTCATATGGAGGGGTATTACATCGATGGGGAAAGTGAGAAAGAAAAAGATATCGGCCAAACACACACATACTAAGAGAGTGAAAGACCCGTGTAATACAGAGCGCAATAAAACTGAAACCTTGATTAGCGATGATATATACTAGGTTAACTCTCAAAAATCTCTGGTGTTGACTGTTAAGTATCCTAAGTCGGATTTTAATTCGTATTAAAATATGAAATATATAAAATATTTTAAACTTTTCAATGCTTCGCAGGTGTGGCTCAATACAAAGTCCAATACGTTGAAGATGAAAAAGATATCTTCCATGCGTTTTTGGTACTTGTTCGCAAATGTGACCCCGATATTTTAATTGGCTACGAACTTCAAATGTTATCATGGGGCTATCTCATTCAGCGTGCTCTGATATTTGATCTTGACCTTGGGAAGCTATTGTC